TAAAATATTTGATTGTCAGAACATATGGTTGTCAGAACATTTGATTGTCAGAACATTTGATTATCAAAACATATGGTTGTCAGAACATTTGATTGTCAAAACATGATTGTCAGAACATTTGATTGTCAAAACATTTGATTGTCAGAACATATGGTTGTCAGAACATTTGATTATTAGAACATATGGTTGTCAGAACATTTGATTATCAGAACAACATATGGTTGTCAGAACATATGGTTGTCTGAACATTTGATTGTCAGAACATATGGTCGTCAGAACATATAGTTGTCAGAACATATGGTTATCAGAACATTTGATTGTTAAAATATTTGATTGTCAGAACATATGGTTGTCAGAACATTTGATTGTCAGAACATTTGATTATCAAAACATATGGTTTTCAGAACATTTGATTGTCAAAACATATGGTTATCAGAACATTTGATTGTCAGAACATTTGATTGTCAGAACGTATGGTTGTCAGAACATTTGATTGTCAGAACATATGGTTGTTCGAACATTTGATTATCAGATCATATGATTGTCAGAACATTTGATTGTCAGTATATTTGATTATCAGAACTTATGGTTATGAGAACATTTGATTGTCAGAACGTATGGTTGTCAGAACATTTGATTGTCAGAACATATGGTTGTCAGAACATTTGATTGTTCGATCATATGGTTGTCAGAACATTTGATTGTCAGAAAATTTGATTGTCAAAACATTTTGATTGTCAACATTTGATTGACAGAACATATGGTTGTCAGAACATTTCATTGTCCGAACATTTGATTATCAGAACATTTGGTTGTCAGAACACATGTTTATCATAACATATGGTTGTCAGAACATTTGATTATCAGAACATATGGTTGTCAGAACATTTGATTGTCAGTATATTTGATTATCAGAACTTATGGTTGTCAGAACATTTGATTATCAGAACATATGGTTGTCAGAACATTTGATTGTCAGAACATTTGATTGTCAGAAAATTTGATTATCTTGTCAGAACATTTGATTGTCAGAACATTTGGTTGTCAGAACATATGATTATCAGAACATTTGATTATCAGAACATATGGTTATCATAAGATATGGTTGTCA